TAGGGTTTAGGGTTTAGGCTAAGCAATAGGCTATTTGTAACTGGAGCCAGAAGCAGTTAGTCAAAAAGCAAGAGCAACCCTGAACCCTAACCTAGCCCTGCATAATGAACCCCTTAAACTGCCACCCGACAAACCCTGCATGAATCTGATAGAACTTGAACTCTGAGAGGAAAGCCCTTCGGTCACTATATAAGTTCTTGTAGAACCATAGAGCCCCTCAAGAACGGAACTGCGTGCCAGGAAAGGGCTGCCACGAGCGGGCTCCATGAGGTGGCGAAGCAGATACCTTTCATCAAGCCCAGTCGAGGGTCTGGATTTACGGCACGTGCTACTGTTGTGAGTGTTGCTGCTACTAGATTACTCCTATGTCTGCAACAACAGCAGCTACTACGACTATCACCACTACTACTACTACTACTACTACTACTACTACCACTAACTAGTACCAGTACTAGTACATTGTGCCAGGAAATTAGAACAATTATTGTGCGGAACCGTCTTAGCAATCTTCGTCATCTTGGTCAGGCGGGCGTGAGCAAGATTGCCGAGAAATCTCGACAATCTTGGTCATCTTGCCCGACTTGCTCGCCGACTAGCTCACCTTTTGGAGACCAAGCTTGCAAGGTTGCTTGCAATCTTACTCGCCCGCTTGCTGCACTCGCCCCACTTGTTTTGCCGTCTAGGTTGCCTTTCGGAGACCAAGATTGCAAGATAGCTTGGCGATCTTGCTCGGAGTCTTGGTCTGAAAGGTAAACTAGTCGGTGAGACCAAGACTGCAAGGGTGCGTGGCAATCTTGCCAACTAATTGTTTCAAATTCCCGGCACGCTGCATGGGTAACGATTACGACGACGACGACGACGACTACTACTACTACTGCTGCTGCTGCTGCTGCTACTGCTACGGCTACTGCTACTACTACTACTACTACTACTACTACTTCTACTACTTCTACTACTTCTACTACTACTACTACTACTACGACGACGACGACTACTGCTACAATTACCACCCGCCACGTTTATCAATGTTACTATTTCTACTACTACTACTACTACTACTACTACTACTGCTACTACTACTACTACTACTACTACTACTACTCCTACTGCCACTACTACTACTACCACCACCACCACCACCACCACCACCACTACTACTACTACTACTACTACTATTACGAGTACTACTACTACTATTACGAGTACTACTACTACTACTACTACTACTACTACTGCTGCTACTGCGACTGCTACTGCTACTGCTACTGCTACTGCTACTGCTACTGCTACTGCTACTGCTACTGCTAAGATC